GTTTATGTTGTTATGCCATATTCTTATCCCATCAGCTTAAATTTATGTTTATTTCTTCTTTGGTCTGGAGGTTCTCAGAAAAGTTCTAATCATGTTGAGATTTTATAGTTATATTTTATATTATTGATTTTTAGCTTAATCTCACTATGTCAGAAGACATACTTTGATGACCTTAGTCCTTTGAAATTTGTTGATACTTTCTATGTTCACCAACCCAGGAGCTCCTGGATCCTGTACTTTAGAGATTTTTATGAGGCTTTATCACGTAGGCATGATTGATTATTAATTTATTTTCCAGTCCCTTCCCTGTCTCTGGAGGATCAAGGGTAGAACTGTAAGTTCCAAGCTCTGGTCACAGCTTGGTGTCTCTAATGACCAGCCATCCTCCAGGAGCTCACCAAGAGTCACCTCATTAGAACAAAAGGTGCTCCTATCACCAGAAGCTTCAAGGGACTTAGAAACTACTCAGGAATGACAACAGTTTTGGGAGCTCTGTCAGGAACTGGAGTCAAAGACCAGATATGGGTGGGAATGGGGGACAGAGACCAAATTATGTATTTCTTCTTAGCTCACACTATCCTATATTAAATAGCCAATTATCTTTTAAAGAAGTTAGATTTACCATTCCAGAAATGGCTCTTCATAGAGCCATTCTAATCCGTTCGTGGGTCTTCATTCCATGTGCTATATTCCTTCTGCTACAGAACTTCTTTTAACATTTTTTAATTGTGTATCTTCTAACAACAAATTATCCTAGCTTTTCTTTTTCTGGAAAAAAAAAGCCTTTATTTTTTCTTCATTTTGAATGGATCATTTCACTGGATATAAAATTACAAATTGACAGACTTTTCTTTCAACATTTTAATGATCTTTCATTGTCTCTTAGTCTATTTAGATTCCAATGAGATGCCCATGGACATTCTTAACTTAGTTTCTCTGTGGGTAATATATCAGTTTTCTTTGTCTGCTTTTAAGATTTTATGATATCTCTGGTTTTCAGCAATTTTATTAGCATGAGCCTTGCTATGATTTTCTTTATGTTGACCTTGCTTATGGTTTATTGAGCTTCTTGGAACTGTGGATTTACAACTTGCATTAAATTCGTGTGGTTTTCAACAATATTACATCAATGACTTTTTCCATTTCTATCTTCCGCTATCTCCTTCTGGCACTCCATCCATATGTATTTTAGACCATATGTATTTCACTGAGGTTCAGTTTTTCAGTCTGTTTTTTTCTCTGTGTTTCATTTTGGATGGTTTCTACTGCTGTAATTTAATTTCACCATTTTCCTCTGCAATATTTAACCTACTATTAAGCTAATCCAGTGAAGTTTCATTTTAGATTTTATATTTTTCATCTTTTTAAAAACAGTTTATTTATTTTGAGAGAGAACACAAGTTGGGGAGGGGCAGAAAGAGAGGGGGACAGAGGATCTGAACCAGGCTCTGTGCTGACAGCAGAGAGCCCAATGTGGGGCTCAAACTCACAAACCATGAGATCGTGACCTCAGCCAAGGTCAGACGCTTAACCAACTGAGCCACCCGGGCACCCCTGTATTTTTCATCGTTGTAGGTTCCATTTGGTTCGTTTTTCTATATTTTTTACTTCCTCATTCTACTCATGCTGTCTTTTTAAATTCTTGAGCGCATTTATAATAGCTGTTTTTAAATCCTTGTCTGCTAATTCCATTTATTTCTGAGTCTGCTTTTGTTAACTAATTTTTCTCTTGATGATCAGCTTATTGTCCTGCTCTTTTACATATACTTCCTGGCTGCTAGATATTGTGACTATTACATTGTAGAGTGTCTAGACTTTGTTTCTTCACTTAAAGAATGTTAAATAGGCAGTAAAAATATTTGGTAGGCAGTAGTGTAACTTGAAGATCAAGTTGTTTCTTTCAAGGCTGTTTTTTGTAAGCTTGTTTGGGTGAGTTTATAATAACCTTTACTCTAGGGCTAATTTATCCCTGTTACTAAAGTATGACTCTTCTGTGGCCTCTACTCTAATGCCACTAAAGTTTTTTCTACCCTTGCTGGGTGGAACTTGAGTATTTCCCAATCCTGTAAAAAGCTTTAGAGATTATTTAGCCTATAATTCCCAGCAGTTATTGGCCCAGCCTCATGCAGTTTCTCTCTATGGATCTAAAGTTTATTATTAAGCAATAGACTCAAGGAGACTTCTGTGCTTGTTCCTGAAGTGCCTTTTCTGCATAGCTCTCTACGGTTGTCTCCCCCACACATTCCAGCTGCCTCGACTCACTCAAACTCTGGGCTCTATCTTTTCAACTCAGTGAACCTGCTATGCGCTGTTTAGGGTCTTCCTACCTGCACTGTGGTCTGGAAAGTGCCTCTAGGCAGGGAGGTACTGTGATTATACGACTTCATTTGCTTCTGTTCTTACCTTTATCACAGTCCTGCGCTGTCTGTTGTCCAATGTCTGGAAATAGCTGCTTCATATATCTTGACCCGACTTTCAGTGCTTTGCAGTTGGAGATCAATCCCAGAATCAGCCCCTCCATTATAGAGTGAGCAATGCTGCCAGGTTTTGTTAACTTTGCCCTGGAAAAGTTAACTCCTGGAGTCAATGGTTCTGTGGTAGAAGTGGGGAAAGGGGAAGAGATTTAGAGGCAACTATATAACTTTTTTAAAAATGTTTGTTTATTTTGAGAGAGAGAGAGAGAGAGAGAGTGAGAGAGACCCACATTCTTGACAGTCATTATGAGTATGTAAATCCCTGGAGAGGAAGGAGCCCATGTCTTTAGTCTTGGTATTTCCAGCAGTGTAGCTTAGCACTGTGCCTGCGTAGTACCATGTTTATTGGTTTTGTCAAGCTCAGCTATTGAGTTGAACATGTCATGGATAACATGTGGCTTACTCCTCCTCACGTAATAAACATACATTGGGCACCTATTATGACCCAGATTCTATGGTAGGAATAGAGTCGTCCAGAGGATTGAGTCCCAGTTCCTGGCTTTGGGAGCTCAGCCGAGTGGAGTCAGTGAAGCAGACAGGCATTTGTAGTACAGGATGATGAATGCTTTGATAGGCATATGTCCAGAGGACTCTGACGGCACCCAAGGAGGAACCTAGCCCTGTGTGGAGGGTTGTGCAAAGTTTGGAGGTAGCAGAGGTGACCATAGAACTTTACATAACATTTGCCAGAAGTTTAAGAAATGTGTTACATTGAGAAATATTTTCCTCTCAATTTCAAAAGAAAATCCAATGGCCCTATAACATTTAGTTTTGAAAGTTTCTACTTTAGGCTACAATAGTTCTATAAAATGAAGGCTAATCAGGCAGTTTTGTTAATATTGCAGTATTGTTGATTTGGATCGACGATCATGATGAGGCAGAGTTGCTGCCACTGCTGACGATGACGACAAGATTTATTTAGGCACCGCTAATGAACCAGGCACTGGGTCAGGCTCTTTTCATTGATTACCTTTACTCATCCACTACAGTGCTGCAGGTTAGAAGTTGTGAGTTCCAGAAGCTCAGGGAGGTGAAGTTAGGTCCTCAGGCTCCCACACTCAGAAGTGAATACTCCGTGACTACTTTACTCAGTGGTAATTGAGTGGCTGGAACTGGAGGACAATCTGAGCTCACCACTAAGGGTGCCTCCTTCTGTTACTATGACGTCCTCTGAAGCTCTCTTTACCTGAGCTCTCGCATCTGGCAAACTGAAATGGAAAACAGTGAACTCCTTCCCCAGAGAGTCTGTGCTGTTATATAGATGGTTTGCATTATTTTGCTTTGAATAACAGCATATGTAAATGTGCTCCTGGTGGTTAAAATTACCCTTGTTTTTTTTTTGTTTGTTTGGTTTTTTTTGTTTGTTTGTTTGTTTTTTTAAATGTGGCCTCTTCCACTGGGGTAAATAGTTGAAAATTATGGGGAGGAAAGGACAGGCTGGAGAGAATGCTAGTCACATGGAATTGCTCCTCCTTCCCCCCTCCCCACCCAACACATACTTCTATTCAGATAGAAGCTGCCACGGCAGAGTAAAGATTCCTACATTTCCCAGCACGGAGTTCTCGCTGGTTCTGAGAGTCAGTGTCCAGAGTGGGTGCATGCAGACAGACATTACTATCAACTCTGCATCAGGATGTGCAAGGGCAGATGTTCTCGCTGAGAAGAATAAAAGCCTCCTGTGGCACCTGGAAGACTTCACCACACACGGTCCCCAGCCAGATCACAAAGAGATTAGTGAACACGGGACCCTTTGCCGCCTCTCACCATCCACCTCTTGTTCAGAGATTCACATATCTCCTCGCCTTCAGCTCTCCCGTGGGCCCTGCATTGTTGAGCCCTCCCTATCTTACAGTGCCTTTCCTGGCATTTGAATCATCACTTCGATGATGTGATAATATCTGCAAGTTGGGAAAATAAAAGTGGCATTTGTTTAGCCATAATTAATGAAATATTTATGTTGCATGAGACTATGTGATAAAACCTTAGGCTTAGAGTCCTTTTGCTTCTGATTACATTTGGGATTTTTTTTTTCTATGACCAGACATTCTGACGCCAGCTCTTTTACACTGAGCAGATGTCATGTAGTAAAAATGGGTGCCAGATGCTGTGAGCCACAGAAGGGCGATTTGTTTAAGAGCTGGCTCCGACTTTTTTGCATTCAATTACTCTGCAGAACGAACCTTACACGAGCATTTAGGTAACTCAGCTAACTTCAGACAAGGATTTTAATAATAGATTTCATCTCTGAATGCATTCTAAGCAACACACCATATAAATGGTGTTTAAGGAATTAATTGATTTCTGCATAATACCTTTTTTTTTTTTAATATGAAAGAGCTGCAAAGCTCTTGGCAGGGACCCAGAAATGTAATTAACGTGGAGGGCCAAATTTCCAGTTGCCTTTAGGTACTGCTCACGGCAGGTGCAGTGAGGGAAGGGCAGGGAGGAAGGGGGTGAGGGGAAGAAGGGAGGAGGGAGAAGCAGCTTTGGGTTGGGAAGCAGAAAAGAAGCTGAGAGTTCAGTAAGTTCTTCTGTTCCCATTTCAGGTCCCAAACACACCCCTATCCGAGTGCAGGTGACAGGGGCTGCCTCTTCTACCTCTTCCACCGGCTCCTCCTCTGGAGACGAAGAGTTTCATCCCCAGCCTTCGTTGCAGTCAAAGGTAACAAAACTTGGCAAACTAAGAAGGGCCTTTGGCTTATGGGGGCCACTCACCATCTCTATTCCAGACCCAATGTGGTCTCCAGCTGCAGTGGTTTCGTTAGAGGATCGCGTTTCCTTGCATCTGACAGCAACCACTTTTTACCTGGAACACCCCAAGAATTATCTTTTCTTTTTTTAATTTTAACTTTTAGGAGCTTGCCTTTCTTAGAGACTCCAGCTGGCAGAAAAAAAAAAAAAACAGACATATTTACTTAAAATCATTTGGTGACTGCAGCTCTTAAAGTGGGTTTAATATGTGGTCCAACAAGCAAACCATCGAAAAAATTACAACAAGCAGATGCATATTTCCCTGGGGGAAACACAGCTTCATTTAAGAAGCACTAGAGGCAGATTGCATGGAAAATGTTATGTTGATTCTAATCAGAAATATGAAATGGACCATGCAGTTGCATGTAGACATGGATCTCCAAGGGTCCCTGCTGTGGAAGGGGCTAGCTGCGTGCCGGCTGGGGACATGGCCGTCCTTCTCTTTGCTTAATGAACAGATTTCTGGGAAACACTTTAAACAATTCCCATACTCATAGATTTAGAAGTACAAGCATGGCTATAGGTCCTTAAATGTGTCTGTATGTCACGTACGTGAAGACACATCCCACGACCAAATCTCACTGTTCTTTGCTTTAATCCACTGGGGCTGGCGCCTTCTCCCCGGGGCTGGCGCATGAATGGTTGGACCTAAGATGCTTTCCAGGAGAACAGAGAAGCAGTTCACTGTACTAACAGTGTTTATTTTTTGGAGCAGTGGGGATCTGAGGAGAAAGGGAGAGAACCACATTTATTTACTTAGACTCAACTTTTCCATATCTGGCATTAGGAGCTTTGGCATCATCTGAAGTCACTCAGGGGTTCCAGCCCCTCCATGGCCCAGCTTAGAGCAAGTCAGGAGGGGAGCCAGGACAGGGCATGAGTGGGGTGAGGGGAAGAGAGGGAGAGACAGAGGGGAAGAAGGTAAGAGGGAGTGGGGGAGGGAATGCAAAGGAGAGAGAATATGTAGGGCTTTCTCCTTTCTAACTCGGGGCATCTCTGATTAGTTCAGTACTCAACACAAATGAATTTGATGTTATGTTGATTCCTGCGGTTTCTTTACTGTCCCTCTCTCATCCCTTTAAGCGGCCCTGAGTTAAGTCTGTATTCAAGTGAATACAGACATTCATCAGCCGTTCTAACAGACATTGCAGCACTCACGGAGAACAGAAGAATGGAATGGTCCAAACACATCGAATAGCAAGACCATGAGATCCCGGGCAAGCCTTGCAAGTAGCTCCTTGTCCTCCTGCTGGCCCAGAACAGAGCCTGTCAGCACTTAAGCCTACACTGTGGAAAAGCTTGCCTGCTTCACCTGGCTTCTGACCACTCTTACAGGGAGGGAAGGCGGCCAAAAGGTTCTTTACTACTTCCCAAGGGCTCACTCTGAAGGAACAAGGGTTTCCCCCTCCGTTCTGGTTTATCTCTTCTCTCCCACACAGGTGTGTCCCTGGCCACTTGGCACAGAGCCCACATCAGCTCAAATGAAACTTTGCACAGGAAACTGGACACGGGATGTGCACACTCCACCCCTTCTCTTTCCTTCGGCCCTCCCCTCCCCCTGTCCTCCCAGACCCATGCCTGGACCTGGGAGAGTGGGGCAGGCAGCCGGTCCTTGGTCCTGCCAGACTCTCCCTTTCTCTGTCCTTTGTCTTTTCCTTCCTCGCCTTTTTTGAAAATATTTTTAAAGTTTATTTATTTTGAGAGAGAGAACAGGGGAGGAGCAGACAGAGGGGGAGCGAGAAAGAGAATCCCAACCAGACTCCACACCGTCAGTACAGAGCCCAATGCGGGCTCGATCCCACAAACCCGCAAGACCATGACCTGAGCTGAAATCAAGAGTCAGACACTCAACCGACTGAGTCACCCAAGCACCCTGCCCCAAGCTTCTTTTTCCTTTTCTCTCTGTGCTGTCATTGCCACTATTGAGGATATAAGGACTGTGCCTGGCACATCAGATGGCTATATGAGCATTTGTTAATAAATCATCCTTCTTTTCTATGTCAACATGTTTTAATAAAAGACGGTAATGGCTTTCTTTCCTTCTCCAGGTTCTGTTTTGCTAACTCTTGATAAAGCAGTAAGGGTTTGGCTCCGCTGCTTGGAAAGTGTTAAGAAGCTGTCAAGGCATCCCCCCCCCCTGAAATTATATTAAATGATCTTAATTTAGGGGGGGGAGCTTTGACATTTCTCTAAGGCAGGGGTTTTCGATGTCCCTGCACATTATTGGGCACAGGAAAAGCAGTATAGACCAGATGAAAATGTGGATATTGGATTCAGGCTCCCTGGGCTTAACTCCTGGCTCTACCAATTACTAATTGTGCCATCTTGGGCAAGTTACTTAACTCCAAGATTTGATTGCCTTATCCATAATGTAAGTGTAATTTGAGGAATAAGAGATATGTGAAGTAATTAGTATAATACCTGCCACATAGCACTTAGGACGTGCTGGGATTTATTATGTAAATTAATATAATGGAAGCTCCAGAGATACTTGTGAGTCTTTGTATAGGTCGAGTTAGACAATCTCTGGATAACACCTACCAGTGATCTCTACCTTGCCCCTCCACCCTACCCTTTCCAGAAAGGTCCTGGCTGCTTAATGGTGAGGTTCCCCCATCCCAGTGGCCCAGACCCTCTGTTCAGACTGATGGACAGTAAATCTGGAAGCTATCTCGTAGAAATAAAGATGATCTGATATGGAATAAGTTTGAGTTCTGAGAGCTAAAATTTCCTTCCAAGGATGAAGAGGAAGATCCTAAGGAGATTCTAGAAAAGGATTCTAGATCCTAAGGAGAATTCTAGAAAAAGGAAATTTCATCATAAATGTTTTCACTGATGATCTGTAGACACTCTGAAGCCTCAAAGCTGGCTGTCCTGAGGAGTGTGATGTTCCATGTCCATAGAATGGGTGACTGAATAACCAGGATCCACGTGGCCCTGGAAGCACACACGCTTTTTAGGCATAATCCCTGACCTCTGTCGTGGAACTGGATTCCTCTGGCAGTTTCTGGGGCCTGTCAGGTCTATTCTTCCCTTGTGGATTTATAATCCCTTTCAGGGGCAAACATTCAGTTCAACCTGAATGCCCAGGCACCAGGCTAGCTGTAATAAATTTTTAATTCCATATTTGTTTCTGCCAGCATTAAAAAGAAATCGTTAGCATGCTCTAACCTTTATCCTAATATGTAGAAAGTAGATGAGTATGCTCAGAGAAGACGAACTCATAGTGAAACTAGTCCAGTTTAAACATTTACTTTGTGTGTATAGGATATGTATGTATATCCATATACATATATATGTGTGTGTTATATATACAGGCACACATGTATGAAAAATGCATTGATTTTAGTAAATTATAATCATGCTAATTTATAAGATGATAATCTAATAGCCATGCCACTTAATAATAAAAATCATGGTTGGGATGAGCACTGGGTGTTGTATGGAAACCAATTTGACAATAAATTACATATAAAATAAATTAATAAAATAAAATAAAACAAAATAAAAATCATGGTATTTACTGAGTACTTATCCCATATCTTTTTAAAGACATTCTCTCAATTAATTCTTTTTTGTTTGTTCGTTTATTTTTGAAGAGGGCGTGAGTCGGGGAGGGGCAGAGAGAGAGAGAGGGAGAGAGCAGGCTCCATTCCATCATCACAGAGCCTAACACAGGGCTCGAGCCCATGAACTGTGAGATCATGACCTGAACCGAAGTCAAGAGTCAGATACTCAACTGACTGAGCCAGCCAGGCACCTCCCTCCATTAATTCTTATAACGTCCCCACCAGGTGGTCACTAAATCATTTCCTTCGCTCTGAAGAGGGCACTGAAGTTCAGAAAGTTGTGTGCCATGCTGAAACTTACACAGCTCAGCTGGGATTTGATTCCAGCTTTGTAGGGTGCCTGGGCCCAGCGCTCAGCCAGCATTCTGCTGTTTCCCAGCCAAAAGTGTCTCCTCTGCTTTCCAGTATGTGGAGCTGGCCACACCATTACTTCTCCTTCCGCTGGTGTTTAAAACCTAAGAGTGACACCATCAAAATCCAGACATCTATTTTCCGTACATGGATTTTGAGTGCTCTTGATTTTACAAGCCTAGGCACACACAAAACCCAGTGACGTTAATGACATATTTGCACAAGCAAAGTGAAGTGGGGAAGGGAAGCAATCTTATGCCTGCCTCAATCCAAGAAACACTCGCATTTGGATTATTTAGATACCTTCCTCTATTCCCAGGCTCAATTGGGCAATGTAGACCCAACCTAAGGACTGTTTAAAATTATTAAATGCTTTTCATGGTGTGTGTGCGTGCGTGCGTGCGTGTGTGTGTGTGTGTGTGTGTGTGTGTTTCCCTCTCAGGCTCATCCTTCTTGGGCCTGTGGTAGCACCTGTATAGAGTATAATTTTTCTGTTATTCTTTTCCTCAAGGGAGTCAAGTCAATTCTCTATAAAGCCACTCCCACCTACATATGCACATATACACCCCCTCCAACACACACACACACACACACACACACACACACACACACACACCAGTTTCCCAATCTGGCACCTCCTAGCCCTTAATAATTTTAAAATTATTAAAATGAAGTGAAATTTAAAATTCAGCTTCTTATTCATGCTAGCCTCATTTCAGATATCCACTAGCCACATGTGGCTAGTGGCTTCCATATTTTAGACAGCACAGACATAGATAGTCCATCATTGCTGGAAATTCTATCAGAACGTCGTTGTTCTAGAAGCTAAGCAGGGGTTCTGTTGGAAAAAGTAGAAGCCTGTGTCATTATTTTCAAAATTTCAACCCCATTTTTCTTGAATATATTTTTTCTTCTCTATTTTGTTTTTTCAGGAGAGGGAGACACTTAGAAGAAGGAAGCTGGAGAACGCAATAAAACAAATGGTTAAGCAAGAAGAATTGAAAAGACTTCATAAAGCTCAGGTCAGAATACAAACTTAACATGAGTGAGTGAGCCTGGGGACTGGGACCTGGTAATTGGATTGGGAAGCCCTTTGGGAGTCTGTATTGTATTGGGAGAGATGGGCTGGGGAAAAGGTCAGTCTCTCTTCTCTGAATGACCAGATTTGTGGCCATCCTAAAAATCCTAACTCAATGCTTGGTTGGACTCTGAGGCCTGGAGAGCCCAGGAGTTGAGCTGGCCCCTCCCAGCTGCCTTTCTATCTGCAAATATGTGTCCTGCAAAGTGAGCCTGGAATGACAGGCGACCCATGGCCTTGGGAACCATCCCAAGCCCTGACTACCACATTGCAGGGACTTAGTTTTGTCCCCTGGGAGGATACAACCTTCCCCTGACTTCCTGACTGTGTCCCTGCTGAACTGACCACTATTAGGAGCTGTCTTTACCCCAAGGTTCGTCAAAAACATGAGCATCCAACATTCCAATATAGATTTCCTCACTTGATTGTTAGTTCTAAACATTCCTGCCCAAATTGGTCTGCCCACTTCTGTCACAGACAGCCAAAGGAAGCAGGAAGTCAAGCATTCTCCATCTCCCTGAGGACCCCAGACTTAGCCTTGAAGAACAGCGGGGTTTTAGGACAGAAGGACTTAGAATGACCATTCGTATTCATGCAGTGTACCCTTATATTCCTTTCTGCAGTTATTCCCTCTGGCCATATAGTTCTGTCGAGGAAGGAAGTCACATTCCTTCACCCTTCAGAGTGACTGACAAGGGAGCCACTCCTGTCACCTAGCGGACAGGGAAAGTCCTTACAAAGTCTCTGTCCACTCCCAACTTCTGAAACAGGTTTCCTTGAAACATTGTAACTTTCCCTTGTGAAAACAAGGTAAGTCTCTATGATATGGATTGGCTGACCCAGCAACCCCCTCCTTGTGTTCTCCCTCCAGACGGTAGGTGGTGATAAGAACCATGACACCTCTGGAGTCCCCATCTGTTAGCGCTCACAGCAGCCCTTGTTAGTCTCCAAGATTTTCACCCTTGGTTTCCAAACAAAAACCGCTGCTGTAGTCCGTTCAGGCGGCCATAACATCACACAAAATACGTGGCCTAAAAAACAGGAATTTATTACTCCTAGCTCTGAAGTCCAGAAGCCCAAGATGGTGGGCCTTCAGGATTGGTTTGTTGTTTGTTTCTTTGTTTTGTTTTGTTTTGTTTTGTTTTGTTTTATCGTAGTCTCTCTTCCTGGCCCGGAGACAGCTGCCTTCCTTCTGTGCCCAGGCAGAGAGGGAGATGTCTCTGGTGTCACTGCCTGTTCGCAGAAGGTCACCAGCGCCAACGGCATTAGGGGTCTTATGATCTCATTTAACCTTAATTCCTTCTTTAAAGGAATACAGTCGCATTGGGGTTAGGGCTTCAGGACATGAATGTGGGAGGACACAATTCAGACTGTAACAACCACAAAGCCAGAAATGCACTAGAGTCAGTCATAAAGTCATTGAAATGCTTCCCTTCCATTAGCGATTCTACGCCACGCCATTGAGAGACGGATTTATAAAAATATAATTGTCTTTAAAAGAGCGGCAGAGGGCACAAAACCACAGGAGTATTACAGAGAGTTCCCGTCTATTTTAGATTTTAGGTTACACCCCGGGACTTAAACGCTCTTAGTCCCCGGCAAGAGGAACCAGGTGGGTACTCAGGCCTGACCCCTGCTCACACCTCTTCACAGGCTCGGAGGCCCTTCAGCGATTGTAGTCTGAATGCAGGGGAGACTGAGAAAATGTGGAGCTCAGGAGGAGTGGGGGTGAGACAGAGCTGCAATGGGGTGGAGGAAGAGGGACACACACCTTCTGCCCGCCCAGACAGCTGCCAGTTCCTTTCATTTACCTGTTCTGCCAGGTGCGAAGTCAGTTCTGCCAAGGGCTGTGCCATCTCGGCAGCATGTTGCTGGAAAGCAGAGAAAATTGATGCGGGGAAAAATGTATATGGGAAGAGGCTGTCCCTTGATTTTCCTTCCTAATACAGACAGGAGAGAAATAGCTGGTGGGGAAAATAAATGGGTAAAAGCAAACCCAGCCGTGACTCCAGACATTAACTAGGGAGGATGTGAGGTTGTCTCCTAGTGGGATAAACATCCTGGGTCTTGTCTTAACCAGCTGCTAGTAACAGCCTCCATACGCTCCCACGGTAAGAGGCCCCCGGGTGTCAGCCCGGCGGTGCGGTGAAAGAAGGAATACAATCGATAGCCAAGGACAGGAGTTGGACAAACCGAGCTCGGCGTCTCCTGCTCCAGACAGGCTTCTTGGGAGGTTTCTGCTGGTTCTTGAGAACATGGAAAGTGACCGTGCCCTCCATTTGCTCCCAGAGCCTCGTCCTACTCTGAGTAGTAGCTGCCGCTCTGTGTATGCCACGACCATAGTCAGAGTTCGAGGCTCGGAGAGTCTGGGATGCGTGAGAACCGCCCGCCTACCCCAGCCTCCTCTGCCTGAAAGCACATCTGTGTGGTTGGCCTGAAGAGGACTGTTCTAATGTCTACTCGGGGGCAGATTGAGCTTACATCTGGCCTCCTTGCTTTATGTGTTCACTCTAAACGAGGGAAACATCAAGATCTAGCGATTTGGGAATTCAGAGGTCGTTACCCAAGGAGGGACACTGCAAGGGATAGGGCCTCTTCTGCTTGAAAACTAAGCGGTAGAGTCAGCCCCCTCATGCGACGCTGCACCTTAAGAGTCCCCATGTGACGTGCAATCCTGACATTGCAGGCCATCCAGAGGCAGCTGGAGGAGGTGGAGGAGCGGCAGAGGGCTTCTGAGATCCAAGGCGTGAGGCTGGAGAAGGCGCTGAGGGGGGAAGCAGGTAGGTGGCCCCGCAGATCGGAGAGGCGGGCCTGGGCCGAGAATGGTGCCGGTCTAACCAAGCCGGCCAAACACTGAGACCTCGTCACTGTTAACGGCATTGTTAACATGGGCAGGCGGCACTGAGGTCACAGCTGCTCCACACTTCCAAAAACAAACTCATGGTCCGATTTGAAATTCCTAGGGCACTGGTCAGCCCATGGGCCTTGTCCCTGGGTTTCTGGCCCGTCCGGCCTCCCTTATGCAAGTGTGAATGTTCTTTGCAACCCGGGGGTTATGAGAAACTATTCTGAGATAGTCATGAGAGCTATTTGGATGTTCAAGCAAAGCGGGGAGCGATTCAAAGCCCGGGCTTGGACTCAAAGTCCTCATCCCTCCTTTTTCTAGCTGTGTACCTTGGGCTGGTCACGTTCTAAACTTTTATGAACTTTCGTTTTCTCCTCTAGAATAGGGATATTTGCGGTTTCCTTTAGAACTGATATAAGGATTAAAGAAGAAATTATATACAAAAAAATATATGTGAAGAGGGGGACCTGGGTGGCTCAGTCAGTTAAGCGTTGTACTTTAATTTCGGTTCAGGTCATGATCTCACGGTTTGTGAGATCGAGCCCCACATCAGGCTCCAGGCTGACAGTACAGAGCCTGCTTGGGATTCTCTCTCTCCCCCTTCTCTCTCTGTCCATCCCCTGCTTGCATTTTCTCTCTCTCTCTCTCTCTCTCTCTCAAAAAAAAAAGTTTAAAAAATTATATATATGAAGATGATAAACTAACATGTTGCCTGGTATAAGAAATGGTAACTCTCCCACCAATAGCTTCAGACCCTTAGATTCAAACAGAATTCATCTGGTGAAGACCTACCCTGGGGGAGACATGAAGACAGTGGGTCTATAACGATGAGTATAGCACAGTTTCTGCCTTTGAGAAGTTCATGGTCCATTGAAGGATGCAGACATGTAAATAAATAAACAGCAATACAGGAGGACAAGTCCTGTGATAGGAACAAGCGTTTGGGGAGGGGGGCATGGGGACACGATCACAGGCTTCCTAACTGATCTTGGGGAGAAGGGCATTCAGGCTAATCACCTGGAAGGGGCATTCCATTACGATGAGACCCAGAGGAGGAATAAGAGTTAACCAGTGAGGTGAGGAGATTGTTCTAGAAGAGGGACATTGCTCCAGGAGACGTGAAGTGCCTCAATGAATAAGGAGACAGCGAAGGAGTCCAAGGTGAGGGATGACTTAAAGACCCCTACATTTTTTGGAAGCCACCCCAGCACCAGTTTTCAGCTAGTGAATTGGAGAGGCCCTTAGAGTTAGTGGGTGGGGGGTGATATTGTCTCCTTTGTTTGGGGGTATGATGTCTTTAGCCTTCTGCATTTCAGGTATAGCCAGACACTGAAAACATATCTCTGCGTGCAGTCGTGTAAACAACATCTTACTTGTTAAACAACATGGCGGAAGTTTAGGCTTTCAGTTCTCTTAAAAGTTCAGCTGTTTGAGAGCGATGATATCAGCAGAGGCAGACCCAGATTTTGTGAGGCCTGAAGTTTGTGCACAGTCACGCAGGCAAAATTATGAGGGCTGCTCCCACAGCTTTGCAAGGGCTCAACCAAGTGAGGGTCCCTGCAGTGCAAGCGTTAGCACTTGCGTGCGTGGTTAGCTTGTTTCTGAGTCACAGGGAAACGCTGGAGTCTGACTTTATCCCTCTGAGCCCGGTTTACGAAGTGGGAGTGATCATCAGACCTGTTTCTTGGATTTGTGGCAAGGATGGGCTAAAACAGTTTATGAGGAAATCCTAGCACAGGACAGATGATCAGTAAGTATTTGTTCCTTTTCTTTCTAAAACACACTGTGCATTTCCTTGCAATGCACACATCCACCCATCAGGAATAGACTTCATGACACAAATAATAACTGTTTCTTGCTTGCAGTGAGAGACACTGCCTGTCTCTACGGCTGTTTTGGGAACTTGGAGTAAAATGAATTGCCCTTGTTTGACATACCGCCATATTCCCCGTCAAGAAGGCTCTGCGCCGCTCTTTGGGAATTCACAGATTTCAGCAAGAGCCTTAGAAATGAACAGGATAAACCAAGAAAGCTAGAGCATGTTTCAGTTTGCTAGGGAGGCAGGGTGGCATGGTGGGGAAAAGAGAATTATAGGCATCAAAAAGCCCGTGTTCAAATTCTGCTCTGTTGCATTTATGCTGTGTGGCCTTGGGAGAATCACTTAACCTTTCATGCTGCAGATTCCTTATGCCAAAAATGAAGCTAATAATCCTCACATTCCCAGGTCATTCAGGGCATTGGTGGGCAAATTGCCTCTGAGAGTTTCTACCACACTGCAGGCATTCAACGGATGTGACCCGATGTCATTTTTACAAAGTATTCTTAAGTATCCATCTACACACATATACTGTTAAAGAATTGACTCACTCGGGACACCTGAGTGGCTCAATCTGGTTAAGCATCCGACTTCAGCTCAGGTCATAATCTCACGGTGGTCTGTGAGTTCAAGCCCCATGTCAAGCTCTGTGCTGATAGCTCAGAGCCTGGAGCCTGCTTCAGATTCTGTGTCTCCCTCTGTCCCTGCCCCTCCCCCCACTCATACTCTCTCTCTCTCTGTCTCTGAAAAATGAATAAACATTAAAATTTTTTTTTAATTGTTAAAACAACAACAAAAAAGAATTGACTCATCTTTACTGCTTGAGATTTAAATTCTAGAAACCAAATTTTCATGGCTTCTGAAAATCTCCCTCTCCCTCAAGCTTGAAGAGAGGCTATTTTGAACTATCAGCCGAAGAAAGTCAACTTGTGGTGTTTTCAAAGGTGTGTCAGCCCAGCCAGAAGATAGATTCCCTTCATTCCCTTTACATCCTTAGTAATTGAATTCCCCTGTTTAGTTTATGGGCCTTTCCCCCCTTGATTGTCCTTGTGTGGGTGACAGATACAGATCAACACGGGGCTGGAGGCTGGAAGAGTTAAGTCGAGGAGAGTGGCCCCGAAGGAAACCAAACGGAAGATGTACAAACCAGGCATCAAAATTAATACACTCTAACTTGTAATAACATTTGTGTAGTAATAATATTCCTTTGCAGTTTAATATTCTATTCAGCCCCTTTAAGAGATTGCCCTGGTGCTTAATGAATGACCAATGCTTATTAGGTTAAGTTGTATTTGAGCTGGCCTGTGCTGCTCTGGTTCAAGTGATTTAATGGGAATTATTTAATAGGTATTATTAGGATAATTAGAAAATGATCACAGTTAGGCAATAATATTGAGCTATGAAGGTTGTGAATAACCAAATTTAGAGACAGGCCTGAAAACATGAGTAGTCTGTGACAGTAATGCAAGGCTCCTCTAATAATTACGTGCGCCAGCCTGAAAGGCTCTTTTGTTCCTAGGAGTTATTCATTAGGCGGGCATTGAATTAGAGGAACATGCGGGGGTGCAGGACGGAGGGCAATGATGGCTGATGAGCAAAATGAAGCTTTGATGAGCTCCTAATTGTCGTGACAACAATTCCTTCTTTCTTTCTTCCCAACAGTCAGAAATAAACTCCTCCACCCGCGGGAAGGGTTGTTCCCCATTTTGTTTTCAAGGAAGGGGAAACAAAGAAAAACAAAAATCCAACAATCCACCCTAGATGGCAAGTCATGATTGTAGGGTGTGTGTTGGGAGGTGGGGAGAAGTGTTATGGATGGATGTCCTTGAGGCATGGATTCCCCTGGTGGTCCTAGGTGCCCAGAGTAAAGGACCAGGATATGCAGGGGCCTGATTGCCCTGGGCTCCACCCCCTATGAGGAAAACAAGCCAAGCATTGCCAGCCCCTTAGATTCTTCTTGGTCAAGGCACCGTTACCTACTGATTTGTTATCAATGAAGTGGTCCATGTTAAGTGCTAAGGCTATGGAATTTCCCAATTTTGCAGGAGACCACCATTCAGATTTAGATGGTGTGGATAACAGAATCTGTGCTTTCTTTCAATGCCTGGAGGCAGGTGAAATCTGATGAAAACTTGAGAGCAGCTTGGAAGGAGAAAAGATTTGTCCCTAGGGGAGGTATATGGGAATTAACTTTGCCCTCACAGTGTTACCAACTTTTGGGGAAGGTTTACCAGCTGGTCATCTTCATTGAGCTTCTTGCCTTTTTTTTTTTTTTTTTTTTTTTTTTTTAAGAGCCAGATGGCTTCCCTTCACAAAGATGGAGTTTACAAAGAAATAGCCGGATGTGTGAGGCTGCCAGTAGGTGGCAGCAGGAGCACATGTTATGACAGGAGAAATTGCAATGAAAACCTAGCCAGGAAGAGGGAAGTAGTTTGGCTTGCACTCTGTGGTTTTTTATCTTGGCTGCTGCTGAGGAACAGAAGGAATAATACTTTCCTTGAAAATATAACAATGAGGTGTCCTTAAAAGAACACAGACACTGGAATCAGACACTTGTGAGTTTGAAGCCCGATGCCATTCATAGAAAATGGCCAAGAGTTAACAAGAGTCCAAAGCCGACGGCTAAGCAAGCAAGGAATTTGGATGGGTTTGCCACAAGTCTATGTGCCGCAAGTGAACAGTGAAATCCAGTCCATCAGAGCATGGGAGTGTTTTGCTCACAGCCCAGCAAACGGCAGGAAGGCAGCATGGTACAAGTTGCCCCAGACCCAAGTGTCACAGAGTGACCTGCTAGGCCTAGATGGTAGCTGTGTACCCAGTGGACTGTGCCACGGCTCAGGAGCTCAGGGGAAGGTACGTGGCAGCCTTTACAGAAAGCACTGAGCACGCCAGCCCCTTTCCCTGGAAGCAAGAAGTTGTGTAGCAGTCATGCTGTGGTATCCTGACCTACTTCTCAGAATCGCCTACTTGGCTGGTTCCAGGAATGTCTCAGGGCTGGAGGATGGTTAGGCCCTGTAGTATGGCACTCCCAGCAAAGACATGCCGGGATGCTCGGGGTCGACTGCATATTGCCTTACTCAGCAAATAAAAATCATCCGCTTATTATGGTGTTCATCTCT